CATTTATTTTTTCACAATTTTGTTCACAAACTATCATCAGATTAGGTCAGTTCTTGATATGGTGCTCAAAACAGTTCACTACTGAATTCCATCGCATGTCTTGTGGGACGGATAGCTTGGTTCCTCCCACTTTTTTCAGTGCAACTGCTGCAAAGCGGTTGTTACAGAAGTATTTTGCCATTTCAACAACATTAGCCATTATTTCTGGAACTCTAAAGTCCTTAGCTAGGAGGTGCATCAAATAAATACTGTAACTGTATGATATTAGTTGGGAACCCAATTCACTCTCTTCTAAATTTGGTCTCATCTTGGATACATTTGCAGCATTGTCTGTGATCAAGCTGACTATTAGACATTTGATTTTTTTTACAGTGATAGTTTTTACTGCTACTTCTACTAAGTATTCTGCTGCGTATGCATTTCCTGATGTGTCTTTGACAGCCACTTTTCAACTAAAGTGTGGGATAGGAGGGGAAAGTCTGACAGGCACTGGGTATGTGTGTGTGTGGGAGAGGGGAGGGTTAGTGTTTTTTACGGGATGTCAGCATGCTGTCTTCTAAGTTCAAGACAGCGGCAGGAAACAACCTGTCCTGAGGTGGGAGGAATGAGATCCGAACATCAGCCCCCCTCCCTTCCATCCACGGCTCTTTGCACAAAAATCTCTCTGTCACTCATACAAATGTCTGCCTCTGTCTTCAACAGCATGGGTATTCCATCTGAATGTCCTGTTGCAGATCAGCACAGTATGCAGGTTTTCTGAAACAGAGGGAAACAAAGGGGATATGTGCAGGCCTGCAGGGTAGCCAGCTGCATTAAAAAACGGAGCAGAGTGGCAACTGGAGGGATTATGGGGCATTTCTAGAGGCTAGTTAAAGTGCTGCAAATAGTGGGTCCACATTAGCACTGTAGTGCTGTAGCCACTGCACGTTTCTCATTGTGGAAACTCTACATTTCTCATTGAAGTGGTTTACTTAGAGCACAGCAACTGTGGAGTTAGTATGCTCTAGGGGTGTGAATGTGTACCCATGTACACAGTTAACTGATGAGCCTGGGCTCATCTGTTAACTCTCATGGTTACACGCAGCCATGGGCGGTTGGTGAAGGCAGGGCTGTCGGAGAGAAGCCCCTAGCTCCACCTCCAGCCCTGCCTCTTCTGCTAGGCGCTGCTCCTTCCCCGGCACCTGGGAAGCAGGGTGGCATGCCGCTCATTTGCTCCCCACTTCTAACCATTGGGAGTGGAAGAGAGTGGGCATGTACTCACCGCAGTCTCCCCAGCCCTGGAGGAAGGCATGGTGTGGTGCCTAGCTAAGCCCAGCACAGCCTCAGGGGAGGTAGGAGGCAGGGAGGGCTGTGCCAGGCAGGCAGGAGTTGGTACACACAGGGAGCTGGCTTTTAAGCCTCTACAGAAGCAGCAGCACAGAGCGGGGTGAAGGTGAGCACTGGTTCCCATTGAGTCGCCTTCTCCCTGCGCTGCTGCCTCGGATACAGTGGTTACATGTTTCAGCAGCTACACATTTACAAAAATAAATTATTTTTAACATCCGTAGTGCACTCTAACTGCCTTATCAGTGTGGATATCTTGGAGTTACTGCACTGTAACTTAACAGTGTAGACAAGGCAATAGAGGTAGAAACTACCTCGGTTACGTCTTTGCGAGGATTTTATATCGGGAGCTGGTTGAGCTGGTTCTCAAAATGGAGATGATGTTATTCTTTTCTTCAACTTGAACTACAGGCAGTCCCCGGGTTACGTACAAGATAGGGACTGTAGGTTTGTTCTTAAGTTGAATATGTATGTAAGTTGGAACTGGCGTCCAGATTCAGGACAATTGCTAAATATTAATAAGGCAAAACATTGGGTGTTTTGAAGAGCTTTCTATAATGAAAGAGGTGCCAGGCTGAGTCCTGGCAAGCCTTGGCACAGATTAAGCGCTGTCTGGGCTCCCTGTTGATCGGGCATCGTGCTCTGAAGATAGCACCACGGCCAGCAGCTGGCAGAAGCAAGGGAGGCATGGTATGGTGTAATGCCACCTCTACTTGTGTGCTGGTGTGGGGGTTGCCCTGCCCTCAGAACTAGGCTGCCAGAGGGTGGTGGTGTCAGGAGCCCAGAAGTACTGGGGCTATCAAAGCCGCTGCTGACACTGACCAGGTCTGCAGGGAGACGGGGAGCAAAGCCTTGGAGCATGCCTGCAGCGGGACAGCCCGGGCATGCTCCCCGGCTTTGCTCCCCGTCTCTCTGGTCTGCTGGTCTCCAGGAGACCAGGGAGATGGGGAGCAAAGCCGCGGAGCACATGGGCAGCGGACAGCCCAGACGCGCCGCGGCTCTCCCGCTGCCGGCGTCCTCAGAGGCTTTGCTCCCCATCTCAGCAGACCAGGAAGATGGGCAGCAAACCCCGTTCGTAACTCGGGGACTGCCTGTATATCTTCTATATATTTAAATGTGATAAATCTGATTCATATCTTCCACTGATTTTACACATTTGTAACACTGTTCCACCTGATTTGGTCGTGTGAGAGGAGACTTAGGTCTGGGCACTTTTCCACAAATTCCTGTTCTCTCCACACAAAGATTATAATGTTCTTCAATTCTGTTGGAGATGGAGCCAGACATCTTCTTCAGAGCCTATGTGTGAGAAAAATCTTGGAAATTCTGCAATGCAAAGTCCTAAGGACAAACACTGCCAATCTGCCACACTGTGAAAATGATGGCTTTATATTCAGAAATACCTTTCTAATTCTCTCACTGAAAAACCTTATCTAATGTTCTTTCCCATTCTGACATAAATATGAGTTCTCAGTAGGCTTCAGTGTGTAGCTGGGCTTTAATATATTGTACTAGGAGTATTTTTATTTCTTTTGTACTGAATAAAAGAATTTGGGGGCCTTTAATTTCCATTTATGTTCTTTTCAGCAAAAGCAAAGCTCTGCAACTGAAGATAGAAATATGTGGGGATATCAGACAAATTTTTTTTTTCTCAGTTTAAAGTAGGAATGACTTGAGAATAACTGCCAGTAGTATTGGAATTCGTATTCTTTTGGCTTAATTGGTAATATCTTAGGAGCAGGTTTTCAGAATTAAGTCTTAGATGCAAATTGAAGTTAAAGGAGATATGAGTAACAATATCTTTCCAATCAGCAGTGAAAAGTCAAGATGGATATAGGCCATAGGGTTAAGTTAATGTGTCCTTTGTAGGTTAAACATGAATTAATAAGGCCATGCCACAGATTTGTTAGGTTGTCCCCCCCAATGGCACTCATCAGAGGGACAGTTTCTGAAACCACTGAAAACACTAAATTGAGGTATCAGATAAAATAAGATTTTATCTAATTTAAATTATTTTAATTTTATCTGTAAAATGGTATGGTAAAAAGGAGAAAAACTGCATTTAAACCATGACTAGCTCATGAAGGTCATTTTATAGATCTTATGAAGGAAACTATTAGGAGTGGAAGTGAGGAACATTTTAAAAATGTAAAATTTATTTTTATTCATTCCTTTATCTTTACTTTCCCACTCACTGTCAATGTTACTTTATTCCAGAAATTAAAGGAAAAATCCACTGTAAACGGGAAATGGGAGACCTGCATTGTATTTAAATACAACTAAAGTAAATCCCAGTTGAAAATAAATAAAATTGTAATCAAGCATTATTTCATTTACGGGAAATTTAAGTCATATGTTTATGTACATTCATCCAGTCTTACTACTTAATACCTGACGTGTGCAGGATGTCAGACTAAATGATCACAATAGTCATTTGTGTGCTTAAAATATAGGAAATCTATTAATAACTTTTATTAAAATCTTTTATACCAACGATCACAACTAATTTATGTAGTTAAATAAAAGCTTAGACTTAACAGCAGAGGGGGGACAGAAATTAGGAGTGGTTGGTAAAGGAGAAAACATGTTTTTACTCAAGAGTTTAAAACAAGATCAATGAGGTAGAGAGATGCAGAAAAATCAGTGGGTGACTGCAGTTGCAAAGGAGGCTGCCTCCTAATCAATAGCACTCAGACTGGGAAGGGATTGAGAGGAGTCTAGTGTAATTTGTATAGAGATTAGGGCCGTCAAGAGAGAAAAAAAATTAATCTCAATTGCATGATTAAAAAAATTAATTGTGATTAATTGCATGATTAATTGAGCTGTTAAACAATAAGACTCCAGCTGACTCCAGTGTTGTGCTGCCCCTTTGAAATGCCGCCGTAGCTTTTCAAAGGGGCAGTGCCATGGGAGCCCAGGATCAGCTGTGCGGTGCTGCCTCTTTCAAATGCCACAGCAGCATTTGAAAAGAGCAGTGCCGTGGAAACGCCTGCGATTAATGTATGTTAAAAAAATTAACACATTAATTGTGCTCTGTGTTAATCACAGGCGATAACGCACATTAATTGACAGCCCTAATGGAGAGGGAATGGAGCAAGTTCATGGAGCATTTTAAAATCAGAAAAGGGAATTTTGAACTGGATCCTGAAATGAATGGGCAGCTAGTGCAGTTATTTGAATAAGGGGATAGTGAATTTGCACTTCTCTGTACATGTGAGAAGGGCAGTAACTTTCCATGGATTGATTTTCCATTGCTTAGTCTTTCAGTCAAATTGGATGTCTTTCTAGGTCAACCAAATCAATGGAATTGAAGCAGGACTCATTTGTTGAAATTCTATGGCTTATTTTTTGTAAGAGGTCAGATTAAATGATGATAGTGATCCCTATTGGCCTTAAAATATGTTAATATCTGCTGTACAAGCAGGAATCTGAAGATGCAGGGTATGGAAAAGCTACAGAAAATGGGCTTCAGCATTCTGTAGGTGCTTCAGGGCTAAAACATAATTAGTGTGATGGCTTTCTGCATTATAAAATAGATTTATTGCTTTTCATGCTACACCCTCTAACATATATTGTTCTTTATATATGACCCATCTATTCAATGGAACGGAGCAGTTAGATGAACCAAGTGTGTTGGTTACTGAAGAATAATTTTGATGCATATATAGGCTGTTTGCTTTCTCAAACTCTTGTAAGTACATATGTTTTACTGTTTTTTTCTGCCCTCCCCCACTTGCAGATGGCTATGCTCCATTTCTTTCTTTGACAAATCGAGACTTTACATATACTATTCCAAATGCTGAGATTGATGTTCCAGGACCAGGATACTATGATATTGCCAAAGTACAGGTAAAATTGTATAAGTTGCATTAAATATGTTGAGAGAGATGAAATTGCACTCTGACGTTCAAAACAGTAATATAAGTGATTTTCATAACTAAAATTCAATGGAACAAATCAACAAATACTCTCCTCTTGCGAGAAGTAAACATTTGGAAGAGATCTTTTATATATACACAGGTTGAACCTGTATAGTCTGGACTTCCGTGGTCCAGCAACCCTGTAGGTGCTCCTGTGTTGGAGCACTCATGGGGAAAAACTGGGCTCTGTGCTTAACAACTCTTACCTTGCCTTCCTAGAGATTCTGTAGTACCTTAAATAGCTCATTTGCAGTGCTCATGTTCAGGGAGGGAAGGGGTAAGCAGAGATGGGGGTCGTTGTACCAATAAAAGCAAGCAGGATTTTATGGGGGGGGGGGGTAAGGCAAAAAGCCACATTTATTGTAAAGATAATAATAAAGAATAAAGAAAAGATAGAAGCAAACAACGTTGTTTAACTACTTATTCCTATCACTACTTAACCCTTATATATATATATATATATAAACATTCATTCAATCATTCATCCAGGTTCTGTGTAGTTGTTATAGTTACCAGCACTTATTCCTATCACTACTTAACCCTTATACACTTATATATATATAACATTCATTCAATCATTCATCCATTCATTCAGGTTCTGTGTATTTGTTATACTATAGTTACCAGCCTGGAAGTTGCTTGTGACAGAATACTGGCCAGGTATTCTGTACACAAGTGATGGTAGTGGGGAGCGAAGTCCTGATCAGATGCGCATCTGAAGCTCCTGGTAGGCTGGCAGCAGAACCTGGGGGTGAAGGACATGCTCTGGGGGAAGAGGTAAGGTAGCTGTGGAGCCTCATGGTTGGGGACCAGGAGCACATCCCCACGGTCAGTAGTGAGGGCCAGGAGGGTAGCTCTGCAGCTGTGGGGCTTGATGTGTGCATGCAGGGTTGTGCTCCTGGCTTTAGCCTCAGGGCTCTGTAACCACCCTGCCTCTTCCCCTGAATGCCCCTCCTGGTCCCTGCTGGGTCAGTGTTGGAGCCTCTGCGGTCATCAGAGCTGGTCTGGCAACTGGTGGCATCAGAGGGGCTAGCATTGACCTACCCTAGTCTGGCACATTCCCTGGTTCAGGACCGGTCAGGTGCCAAGGGTACAAGACCAGGAAGGTACAACCTGTACAATTCTTTCTTCCTCATTGTTCTGCCTCTTCATGCATCCCCCCTTTCCCCCCATCTACTCCTTTCCCCAATAGAAAAATTAAGAAAGAGCCCTACGTGCTCCTAAAAATGAGATTGTTGGATGTGTTGTGTCAGTTAAAAATTCAAATGGCTGTCTGAGCTCCTAGATGGTTTGTTGTTTTCATGTAGCTCACCTCCAGTAGTAGGGGGTATTTTGTGTATGGTGTAAGTTAGGGATGTGAATGAGTAGCTGGATAACTGGTTGCCCGGTAAGCATCACCCTTAATGGGTGATATTTAGAGTAACCAGCTAACTGGAGCCTGGGAGCAGTCCCCCAACTGCAGCTTGTTGCGGGTGGAGGGCTGCTCCAGCCCCACTGGGCCCACTGCAGGGTGAGTTGGCAGCTCCCTGGGGCCAGGAGGTGACAGCATTTCACAATATAACTGAATAAACAGTATTTTGCATCCCTGGTGTAGATCAAGATTTCTTGTTGCCCCAGTGTGCTAACAGAGAATATAGTTTTAAAACAGCAAAGACCCATGAAATTTAAGTAATGAATTGATTTTTTTTAAATGAAACTGCTTAGTAATGGTTCCAGTAAGGATAAAGGAAGTTCAGATTAATGCTGCATGAATTATTTGTTACATGTTTTCACGCTTACATGGTAGGTTTCTGTATGCTTTATTACAGTGGTGTGCAAACTTCTCCAGCTGGGCCTGTCTTCCCATTCATGGAATTTGTTGCCCTCTCCCTCCATTACTTGTAATTTGAAACTTTTGAAGTTTTTGCCAGGGCTTTACCCTGCACCAGGCTGGAATCCTAGTGCCATAACTGGGAGTAGGATAAATATTCAATAAACAGTGTCAGAGTGGATATTTTAGGAATTAAAAAAAATAGTCCTCCTGCACCACAACAACATGAATATCTTGGATAAGAGATATCGCTTTCGGGCCACCCAGGTCTGAAGTCAGTGCTTCCACCAGCAGCAGCGTAGAAACAAGGCCACCCTTACTTACGGCCACAACTACTCGATCACCCTCCTCCCCCGAACCACTGGCAGTGGTGGTGCCAAATTTCACAGGTGCTGGCTTCCTCCAAGCCCCAGGAATGCTCAAAATCCTGCTCCACTGCAGGCCCTGTCCTCACCTGCTCCCTTCCTCGAAGCCCCCACCTCTGCTTCACCTTTTCTCTCCCCTTCTCTGCACCAGGCCCTGTTGATTGCTGAGGGCAGGAGCCTCTGGGGAGGAGCAGGGGGAGGAGAAGTTTATTGGCGGGGCCACTGGTGGATGGGAGGTACTGAGAAGAAGGAGGGGAGCTGGTTGCTGCTGAAGGCTGCTGCTGGATGCGAATGAGTAGTTGAATACCTGATAAGTAGGAGCTTATCGAGTTGCACTATCGACTACTTGATCACCCCCTCCCCCTGTTGCTGCTCTGCACTCTTAAAGGGACAGAGAGGAGCTGGTGTGCAAAGATGCTGGGTCAATCTCCCGGGTCTCAGGACAACCATCCCCCGTGCTGCCACTCTGCATTTTGAAAGGAACAGAGAAGTGGCAGTTGGTCCCGTGGATCTTTGCACGCCGACTCCTCTCTGTCCTTTTAAGAGTGCAAAGCGGCAGTAGGGTAATTGGGGAGGTTTGTGCTGAGACCCAGAAGTCAGCCTTTCCCTAACAACTAGTCAATGGAAATTCCATCGACTACTCGACTAGCAAATTAATCACTACTTAACATCCCTACTAAACAGCCACTAATATTTTTTCAGAACACAGTGCCTGTGTCACCTTCAGAGCCAACAGTTGGGATATCTACACTGCATTCCTCTTTCGAGAGAGGAATGCAAATGCAGCCCAGCGAAATTGCAAATGGAGCGTGGATTTGAATTTCCCATGCTTCATTTGCATAATTGCGTCCGGTCGCTATTTTTAAATACCCTGTTTTGAGATAAAAAATGCCATGTAGGCGTGGTTATTTTGAAAGAAACCCTTCTTTCGAAATAACCCTTACTCCATAAAAAATGAGGTTTAATGGTTATTCTTTGCATTCTTCTGGGTTCTCAAGACACTCAGAAGTGGATGGAGTGATGAGGGCTCCTGATTGCCTGTCCTGTATCTGCAGCCAAAGATGGCCAGATTTGTGGGGAGAGTATTCTGCTTCTTCTGGATGCCAGGAGCTGAAGAGGGATAGTGCTCATTACCACCCCCCAAAGTGGGGATACGGCTATACTGTGGTTTTTTTCTGAAGAACGTATGCAAATTGTGCTCACATTTGCATATTTTCTTCTGATTCTTTTTCCGGAAGAGGATTTTCCAATATTTGGCCCGTCTACACAGGGACAAATGTGAGAAAACCCCCTCTTTCGGAAGCCCCCATACACCTTGTTTTACGAGGAATAAGGGGGCTTCTGAAAGAGGGGTTTTTCCCTATATTTGGCCCTGTGAAGACGGGCCAAATATCGGAAAATTCTCTTCTGGAAAAAGAATTGGAAGATTTGCAAATGCGAGCGCAATTTGCATACCTTCTTCAGAAAAAAACAAACACAGTGTAGCCATATAATGGGCCAGTTCTTATAACACACAGTTGAAGTTGTTATCTCTCTCTATATATATTTAAAAATTTTTTCCTGTGGGACAACAGAGTAATGTCATCATGTCACTCTGCATCACTCAGCTGCCCTCCCCTCAATCCCTCCCCACTCCATCCTCCCTGGTGCTCCTGGGGGGACCATGCATCCTCCCCACTCCTGGGGGTGGGATTCATGCACCTTCTCCCCTTTCCTGGTGGGAGCAGGAGCCGGAGCCAGGAGGCCTCCCACTTCCCGGTGCTCTGGGGGAGGAGGGATGGGAGCCACAAGGCCTCTCCCTCCATGGGTGCTCCCAGGGAGGCAAGAGCTGCAAGGGGGCTGCAAGGCCTGGACGGGGGGAACCACAAGGCCACCCTCTCCCCAGTCCTGGCGGGGAGCAGGATACGCATGGCCTCCCTTCTCCCAGGGGTGCGGAAGCCATGAGCCATGTACCTTCCCCGATGCTCCTGGGGGGGCAGAAGCTGCAAGCCATGCACAACTTCCCCTCCCCCGTCACAGGGTGGCGGGAACCATATGGCTTCTTCCCCTCCTCAGTGTTGTGGGGAGGCAGGAGCTGTGAGCTGCATGCCTCCGTGTACCCCAGCCCCCTCACACCTCCGCTCAGCCGAGACTCTGCACCCTCAGCCCGCTCACTCGTACCCCCCCAAGGTGAGAGCCTGCACCCCCAGCCTCCTCACTTGCCACCCTGCTGAGACCTTGCACCCCAAACCCCTTCACCCTGTGAGATCTTGCACCCTCAGCCCCCTCACATGCTGCCTCCACTGATACCTTGCACCCTCACACACTCCCTTCACCGAGACTCTCCACCCCCAGCTCTCTCACTCATCCCTTCCACTGAGACCCTGCACGCCCGGTCTGCTCCTGCCTCATGTCTCCCTGGCCAGATACCTACCCTCAGCCAGCTCCTGCCCCCTACCTTCAAAGAGAGGGGGTTTGGCAAGCATAGCAAGCAGAGGGCACAGCCCCATAGTAGCTGTGTATTATAATTAAGTTTGTAAGTCAACAGTCTCAATGTAAATAGTTTAAATTGAATTTATAATAGGAATTGAACCATTTGAGTTTTACAGTTCACTTTTGGAATTAAAATAAAACATGAATTTCATGCTATCTGTTAGCAATTATGGACTATGTAAAAACAATGCAGTTAGCATAAGCCTTAAACAGTTTCCTGCCACCGTGGAGAAGTGGAGTGTAGCAGACTGGGAGAGAGTGGTGGAGTGGAGCAGACTGCCAGGTCACTGGCTCCTGATGCTGCAGTGAGGGTGGGAGAGGGGAATAACTGCTGCTGCCGTCCAGCACTTGGCCTCCCCACCCCTCCCCAGGTAGTCCACCAGCTCATACTGCTTGGAGGAGGAGGCTTCAGGGAAGGGGTGGAGCAGGGGAAGAGCAGTGGCAGGGCATGGGGGAAGGGGTGAAGCAAGGACAGGGTGAGGTGGGGCAGAGGTGGAGGCAGGGTATGAGGTGGAGTGGGGTTCCCCTGGGCCCTGTGCCTGGGGCACTATAGGGAGGTTGCTCCAGGCCCTTAAGGGTGGCCCTGCTGCTACTTTCCAACCATTGATAAGAAGAACACAGATTGTTTGTTGATTTTGGACCTACTGTATTTAAAATGTAGAAGCTTTTGAATGTACAGTTCAGCTCAAATTTGTTCATACGTATTGAAATTTATAGAGAAGGAGCCAGTGCTCTAACTATTACTGACACAGTATTAAATAGTAAGTTCTCTTGGGCAGAAGTCATCTCTTTTTTTTCTGTTTGTACCTACCATGTTGAGCTCCTGGAGCCATGTTTGGGGCTTTCCTAAGTTCTATTACAGATGATAATAATAAATGATACAGTGTTTTTTCTTTACTGGAAAAAGAAGAGACAATAATTATTATCTTACTGCATTAGAAAGCAAAGGGATACTTGTAATTCACTGAGTATTTTTGTAAGAAATTTTAAAATAGCATTTCATTAGAGAATGTAGCAGTAAAACAAATATTTTCAACCTCTTATCTAAAGGTTTCATTTCTTACTTTAAATCAAGTAAAACAACACTGAGAAAATTCATTTGTATCTAGAGCATTTTAATATAACAGTGCAGACATTTGTCAGCTTTTGGTTTAAAGCAGTGTTTCTCAAAGTGTTCCATGAGCCCGCTATGGGAAAGTTGTGAGCGGGCCCGTGCTGCTTTGTTTGCCTAAAGAGTCCGTAGCCACAGAACATTGCAGCTCCAGTGACTCTGATTTGCTGCTTCCAGCCGAGGGGAGCCACGAGGCCCCATGGCTATGGACCTTTTAGGTAAACAAAGTGGTGTGCCACTAGTGGCTTTCCCAAAGTGAGCCTGCAGAACACATTGAGAAACACAGGTTTGAAGGACTGCAGTCAACTGCTTTTTTATTTTGTGAAGTGCTTGTCGAGTTCATAATTATTTTACCTGATCATTTCATAGACTATTAATTTTTTAAATATTTTTAGAATAATATAAAAGGTGGTCAGAGTCCACAGAACAAAGAAAAACGTTTCAAGGAGATTAGTAAAGACACTCCAGGACCTGGAAGCTATGACAAACCTCCTGCTGTGGGCTTAGAGATTAATAACAGGAAGCAGAGAGATCCTAAAGAACCAAGTCAACTGGTATGTGGTTAAAAAGGAATTATGCCTTATTCATTTTTTTTCTTAAAATTTGACATTGATCACAGATGTTAATATAACATTAATAAAAACACTAGTAAACATATTACAAAACCAGCCTACAGTGGTACAATTGGAAATCTACTGTGGTGCTTACAGTTATCACAAGACAGACTTGATAATGGGAGGACATTATCTCGTAGTGTAGACAAGGCCTGAATTAATGTGGGGAAAATAAATACTGAAAAAAATGAAGCCAAACAAAACCATAGAATTACAGTAAACTTCCAATAATCTGGTACCTTTAGGACCCAGGAGGTGCTGGATTATCAGATATGCCGGACTATCGGAAAGGGGGGCTGTGAGGGGTCTGGGGTGGGAAGGATGGGAGAGCGGTGCTGCGGGACCAACCCAGCAGCACCCCAGCTGCTCTGCCCCAGACTTCCCCAAGTCAGCCGCTGCTGAAACTGACCAGTGGCTGATTCCGGGAAGCCCGGGACAGAGCAGCTCCAATTGTCCGGCTGTCTGGAGCACTTCTGAGTTCCAGGTGGTGCCGGACTATCAGGAGTGCTGGACCACTGGATGCCAGACAGCTGGAGTTTTACTGTAATATGAAGTAATTTCAAATAAAGATACATCTTTTAAAAAAACTAATCTTCCACTATATGCTAAAAGTACAATATTCTCTCTGCCTGACTCAGAGGAGGGATATGTCTCCACTTTCCCTGCTTCCTAGGTGAGTGCCTCAATCACCATGCTAGAGAACAGGAGTTCTCAAACTTCACTGTGCCATGATCCCCTTCTGGCAAAAAAAATATTATTGTGTGACACCAGGAGGACAGGACTGAAGCATGAGCCTGCCCAAGCCCCACTGCTCCTGCGTGGAGGGGCACCAAAACTGAAAACTAAAGGCTTCAGCCCTAAACAGGGAGCCTGTAACCTGAGTCCTCCTGGCCATGGCTGAAGACCTTGAGCTTCAGCTTCAAGTGATGGGGTTCAGGTTTCAGCCCTGGGCCCCAGCAAGTCTAAGCATCCCCCAATGACCCCATTGAAATTGGGTCTTGACCCGCTTTGGGGTCTCAACCCAAGATTTGAGAATTGCTGCTATTCTCACTTGTACTCTTTGATCTAGAAGATATTAGAAATGGAATGGTGTCAACAGGCCAAGTTGAGGAGAATAGCATATAATGTGGTGGTTAGGGTGGTCACCTGGCAGGAGAGAGAATCAAGTTCAAGGCATTTGCCAGACTACGGGAGGTCCCCGGACACCAGCCCCTCAGCCCGCTGCCAGCTTCTTCAGCCCACCTTGGCTATCTGCTGGCCAGCCACAGCCCTAGCCCTAGTTCTGCTGTCAGTTGGGTGGCACCACAGCGCCAAACCTACTGCTGAATGGCACATTGCTCAATCAATCTGCTGTTGCTGCAGACCTTGCTGCCGGGCGACACATGGCCCCAGCTGTGCCGATTCTGTTGGCTTGCTACAGCCCTGGCCAGCTTCCCCTCCCAGGATGCTGTGGCCACAGCCCTGGCCCTGCTGTGGGGCGGCAGGCAGCTCCAATCATGCTGCTGCGGCCTTGCCACCACCTCCCAGGATATTGAGGCCCAGGCTGGCTTCCCCCCTTGTGCTGCTGTGGTCCTGGCCCTACTGCAAAGCAGCAGACAGACCTGATTGTGCTCCATCCAGGCTGCTGTAGCCCCGCCAGACTCGCAGGGCTGCACTGGGTTCCCAGTTGCTAGCCCTCCAACTTCTGGGCTCTCTCATCCAGGAACATCCGTGGTCATGCCAGACCATGGATGTTGCTGGACCAGAGAATCCTAGATTTGGGAGGTGCAACCTGTAGAAAGCTTCCACGGGAGAGGGTTGAAACAAGATAACACCAAATTGGGGAAGTCTACCTAGAAAAATGAAGTTAAATTTTCACTCTCTCAATAAAACTGAATGCAGAGTGCTGTACTGATGTTATCCTTCTATGTACAGTAAAACTTTGATGGTCCGGCATCTGATGGTCCGGTACTCCTGATGGTCCGGCAACATCAGGAACCCGGAAGTGCTCTGGGCAGCCGGACCATTGGAGCTGCTCTTCCCCCAGCTTCCCTGATTCAGCTGCTGCTAAAACTGACCAGTGGCTGAATCCCGGAAGCCGGGGGCAGAGCAGCTGGAGGGCCGCCGGGGAGGGC